ATTCCAAATAAATAGAACTGGGGTGTTACAGTGAACCATGTGAAAGCGTTCTTAGTCAGGGAACTTGGGAAATATTTGATCCTAAGGTCTTCATTATTGGCTATATCTCCTGCTTCGGTTAGATACCTGGCTATGTGTTCGACTGTTGATTCATTGGTATCCCCAGCAAACTTTGTAAACTTAGGGACTTTATATCCCCTTGGTAAATCGGTGTGCATTATGTAATCTAATATAGGGGAGGCATAATTTGGCCTTCTAATTCCTGTGGTGAGGCCATTCTGGGCCATGATTCTCTCTATCATGGTGGTTAAATTATTTTCTGCCGAGATGTTATCGTTTCAAATTCTGTGAACGACTGCATCAACATTTTAATTTCGACCCACCATGACAACTCCTCTAGGTTGTTCTTCTCGAAACTCTGGGACTTCTAGCCTTTCGATCCTTGCCCCCCGATTCCATAATTTCCCTTTGTGGGCCTTGAATCATTGGGGCTTCTAACCTTTGTGCCCTTGCCCCCAAATTAACCTCCTCTCTGGCTGGTCTATAGGGTGGGTCGTTAGCAACTTGTTCTATAACAGGTACGTTTGCTCGAACTCCCGCCTGATTCTGTCTACGCCTTTCTGGGGGAGCGAAAAAATCTGATATTCAACTCATGTTATCTGCGTTTTCTCTGTTTGTCACAGTTACATTTTGTACTATTGGGGCAAAGATTTCCTGCATAGTTTGTGCTAACACTCCTATCATATTATGGTTACTGTCATCCATTAGTTGCCTAAAGGCCAACTGATTTTCCGTGGTTAAGATAGGCATTGCACTATAACCCACTGACCCTTGGTTATTTGTCATAAATTGATTTGCCCCAGACCCAGACCCTAATTGTGGTGATGAATTCGATGTGGAATTGTGTAAGCCTGCCATAAAAGATGTTGGCATTCCATAAGAGGAATTTCTGGTTTTGTTACCATCGAAACCGGGTGGTCTAGTTAGTGGGGTGGAGAAATGGGTTTGTGTCCCTGGTGGTGGGACGAATCCCCCAGGATAACCAATGGTTCCAGTGTTTCCTAGGATCGAACTGTTAGTTGGTATGCCACTTGTTCCATTAGTGGCTACACTATTGGTAGAAGATGCAACAGACTGTGCGTTCGAAGGGATCATATTAGATGTTCCCATCGAAGCAGACATATTAGTGCCTGTTGTTTGTGGGATATTTTGTTCCCCTTGTTGATTGTCTGGATTAGACATCTTGTTTAAACGTTTTCTTCTGGGTAAGGGTTGGTTGCTATTGGTTATTCTACCACTTCTAAGGTTCATATAACAACAAACTTATCACTCAGAAAGTATTTTTACAATGGTCATGTCTCAACAATTTTTTACTTTGTTCTAAATTTCGTAATGACCAATGACGGGTCCCACCGGGTGTACCAATTTGTTTACAGTGATTTCTGGTAAACAACCGCTAATCCTCCAAACTATCAAATAATCTTAATGACTGTTATTTAATCTCTCTGGTAACTTGCAGGATCGACTAGATTGATCCTAGGATGTATTGGTCATTTGGATAATTCTCATTATAGAACTGATATTCATGGTTGGTATTTAGAATGTTGTGTAGGTGTTCAATTTACTTCGATTACTCTATTAAAGATCTAATGACATGATCAAGTAAATGCGTGCGAAACTAAATTGCATGAATAAAGTTCAATTGTAAAGACATGTAAAACTACAGAAAAGACAAGTAAATGACTTCGAAGCATAAAAACATGTAACGTAAAAGCGTTTCTGGAATGTAAAAGATTCGAAATATGAAGAAAGCGTTTAAATGCAAGAAATCAGTAAAATGACTTTGAATGAAAAAGGTATTCGAATGATAAAAGCATGAAGATAAAGGCATGAAATATACAAAAGTTTCTGAAATGTAAAGGATTTGAAATGGAAAGAAAACATTTAAATGTAAGACATCAGTAAAAAGATTTCGAATGAAAATATTTTAATGTAAAGGCTTTTGAATGATATTGACATGAAGATAGAGGAAAAGACTGGAAATGATAAAGAGTTTTATTGAATCATAAACATTTGGTGTTATCATACGTACATTGTTCGTGCATTCGTTTCCCTAGCCATGTGGTATTTTGAATGTTTACTGGATTTTTGTACAATAGATAAGACACACGAAATCCTAATGCTAAGACTTCTATTTATACTACTTCGACCATAACGGTCTTGCTATAAGATTCTGCCACGTTCAGAACATGCAAAGCAATGCCCCTCTCTAGCTTCCACGCTTCTTCGAATGCTCCAGCGCATATATTTTAAATTTCGAACATCCCGCTTGCGTTTGAAGTTCAAATGTTTTGGCACTCTTCGTTTCGAACACATTTCTTGGACACAGCCTTGTTAACACTTCGAGACTCCTTTTGAATATATCTCCATAACTGTCACTCGAAGCTCAGAGTTTTGACATGCCCATTCGAAGCACTGCTTCTACCATTTCGAAACATGACATCTTGCTTTATTCCAATCGAAACATCCAACTTGCTTCGCTTCGAACAATATCATCAAAATCTTCAGCCAACACATATCAACTCTGCATTTGATCTAACACCAGAAGAGAATAACACTCCATATCTCAGAGTACCTTCAGTATCTTGTAGCTTATCAAACTCTGCAAATCTCCTTGGTGTTTTTATGATTCGTTGTGGCCTATGGACTTGTTCAAAATCTCCTTCTGATTATGAAACCGTATCTCCTTCTGGACTTTCTTCAGAAGATTGACTATCATCAGAATCTCTACCTTTGTTAACTTCTGAACCTCGTCCATAACTACTACCTTCAGAAATACCACCTTCATAAATTGGATCGCCTTCAGAAGACCTGTCTTCAGAAGTTCCATCTTTAAAATCACGACCTTTATCAAAGGTTAGACTACCTTCAGAAGCTCCTCCTTCAGAAGGTCCACCTTCAGGGTCATGATTACCACTAGAAACATAATCATCTTCAGAAGCTTGTACTCCAGAACCCACGTCTTCAAAGTTTTCCCTTCTAGAAACATGATCACCACCATATTTTAGATCATCATCAAAATCTAGATCAGAATCAGATTCACTATGTGACTCATCTTTAGAGTCTCCAGAAGATTCTTCATCCTCTGACTCTGACTCACCTTCATAGCTTTCAAGTTTTGAATCATCTTCAGAAGCAAAATCTCCTTCAGGTCCCGATTCATCTTCTAATTCTTCTTTAGACTCAGAATCATCTTCTAACTCCGACTCATCTTCAGGAACCTCAGATTCTGACTCATCTTCAGAATCTTCAACGTTATCTTTTGATTCTGACTCGTATTCAAACACTCCTTCAGAGTCAGAATATTCAGAGTCATCTTCTTCCCCTTCAGAATCAGAAAATGACAATTTCACAGGTTCCTCATCAGACTCATAAGCTATTAATAGCACATATTCATCATCAGAATCTCCTCTAGCTATTTTTGCTTCTTCTTTGTTTGACCAACATTCTTTAGCAAAGTGGCCAAACCTATTACAACAGTAACATTGAATCATTCTATTCTCATACTTATCCTTTCCCTTATGATGTTTCTTTTCATCAGAATATAAGACTTCTGACTTCTGGGACCAACCATGTTTTTTCAGCTTTTGGTCCTTCTTGACAAAAGAAGCTTTCAGAGTCTGCTTAACCTCCCTCTCAGAAGTTCTTTCAGTGAGACGCATCTCATGCGCCTCTAGACTGCTTTGCAGCTCTTCTATTCCGATGGTGTCCAAATTTTTAGAATGTTTAATTGCTACAACAATGTAATTAAATTGAGGAGTAAGAGACATCAATATCTTCCCAATGATTACTTGTTTAGAAATTGTTTCTCCACAAGCTTTCATCTCATTAGTGACCAGAATCACTCTAGAAATGTACTCAGAAACCTTCCCGTTGTCCTTCATGTTGAGATTCTCATATTGCTTTATTAGGGACTGAAGCTTCACCTTCTTCACTGATGCGTCACCACCGTAACATCTGACTAGTACATCACACACACCCTTTGACATCGTCGAATCTGCAACGATTCTAGTTCTTGCCATCGAACGCTGGAAGCTTGGTACTCAGATTGTCGTTTCCGTTCATCTTCAAACTTATATAGAACACTCAGATCTCACAAACACAGTGTTTCCCAATCCCACATAATCAGAAAATATGATTTTGTTCAAGATTCAACACGAATTCAAGAACCAAAATCAATCACACAACGCCTCACTATTTCACTTGTGTTTCCCGTGAATCTAACCAGAGCTTTAGATACCAATTTGTTGGTGCACAAGGTTAATAAATGAAAGAAAGGTATGAGAAAATATATTTACTGCAATGACGATTATAAAGCTTACAAAAGGAATGACACAAGTGATTGCTACTACTAGTCTATTTATACACAAAGTAAATTGCCACCTATGCCCTAAAAGGTAAATTTAATGACTAAGTTAAAAGGTACAAACTAGAAAATACTAAACTTAGCTGTTACGCTAACAAACTTATAACCAAAAACTCCATAAGCTAAGCATATTTCTGGTCGTAACCTCAGAAGCTTCTGTTTCTGATTAATAATAACTTCTGATTATATTAAACTACTACTTTTAACTAAGCAGTCTCAGAAACTTACAGTTTCTGGCTAACAACCTCAGAAAATCTCCTGCTTCTGAATAACAACATCTTCTGAATATGAATTACTTCCAATAGAGTGAACCGATTTGGATAAGTTCGTTTGTTGCGAAGTAGAATACTGCACTGTGATGTTCTCTACTTCCGAGAATCTAAAGGTTTACCGCGAAGATGAAGCTCTTAAGATTTTGAGCTTGTGATTTTCTTGACGCGTGTGATATACAATTATCGGAGCGTGCGAGTACGTTGTCGAATTTGGTGCTGGATTTAAGGCAGTCCATGCCGGCGGGGGAGAGCAAACATTCTCTGACGGAGTATTTTTATCATTTTGTGAAGTAATTATTGGATCAAAGGGAGAAGAGGTCGCCTGGAGGTGAGAACCAGTCGTTGGTACCGGTGGTAAGGTCGACGTGGTGGAGGGAACCACCGTTTACTACTGGTACCGGTGGTAAGTTGACGTGGCAGAGGGAACCATTGTCTACTGCTTCAGAGATCCAGTCGTGTTTGATTTCGACGACATTGTCACCGGAGATGCAGTGAGTGGTCGTCGACGAGTACATTATTTGTTTATGGGAGAGTGCACATTGTGTAGAACTGAACTCCATCTATCTGATGGAGAGGGTGTGTGTTAGTAAAAGTAAAAGAAAGCCGGGTGCAGAAAATGAAAAAGACTAATTCTAAAATATACTACACTGTTTCGAGAAACCATAATCGAGCCCATGTTTTATACTGGCAAAGCCAGCTAATGCTCGACTATACATAAAGCAAATTTTCTTTTTTGTTTAATTTAAAATTTACATTGTTAACTACTCATAAACATAAACATAAACATGCATGTAATTTTAAAAATAAATATTTTTAAATTAATTATTTTTAGTAATTTAAGGATTATGATTGATATTAATGTAATTTTGTTTTAGTGAACATTTCTTTTTAGTTTAATTTGAAATTTACATTGCTAACTACTCATAAACATAAACATGCATGTAATTTTAAAAATAAATATTTTTTAAATTAATTATTTTTAGTAATTTAAGGATTATGATTGATATTAATGCAATTTTGTTTTAGTGAACAACTAGTAACAAACTCGTGCATACGCACGAGTTCTAGTATGATATGTGTATTTGTTTTAGATGGTTTTTTTATAAAAATAAAAAAAATATTTAAAATAAAAATAAATTTATCATAAATAAAATAAATTTTTTTATAAATTAAAGTTGTATTGTGTCTAATTAAAATTGAAAAACTAAAAATAAAATTATAAATGAAAGAATATAAGATCTTAAAATGAAATTGTAGAATTTTATGTCACATTAAAAAACGAATAAATTAGAATTTATAATAATTGCAAAAAATGATGAATTTAGAAAAAAAATTAAAATATTGATGAAGTTAAAATAAGAAGAATTTGATACAAAATATTATAAATGAAAGATAGATAATAAAAATCGATTTTTTTTTGAATAATCAAGTATTAAAAAAAATTCGCAAATAACCGCGTTTCGGAAAAAATTACGCAAATAACCATGTTTCAGATGACTCCCCAAAGGAGGTGTCATCTCACTTGGCGCCTACTCCCATTTTTTAAGAGGAGGTGCCATCTCACTTGGCGCCTATGTGTTTAGGGCATGCCCTAAGCCAAGTGAGATGGCGCCTATGTGTATTTTTAGGACAAAATTTGATTATTTTTTTTGTCCGGTGCATTGCGTTGCGTATTGGATACAGGATCAACAAAATGGACTTTTTATTACAAAAATAATAATTACATCCAATTGTATTACATTAAAAAAACAGATAAAAAAAACAGATAAAAAAAACAAATAAAAAAAAACAAGAAAAAAAAACAGATAAATCAGTGATCCCCCGGAACCCGGTAATGACCCCCGGTTCCGCATCCCCGTCCTCGCCTTTCCCGTGCTAGGTGTCGTCGTGTTTCCTGCTGCGGCAGGGTCGATGGCCCAGCGAAGTCAATGCATTCCGGATCCATAAAATCAGTCAGATCTCCATATCTAGAAGATCCGCTTTGGTACAGTCGGTTACCCATACCCTCAAAGTTTTGTCGTATTGGCGGTGGGTGGGGTTCCATGGTGGGTCTGTAGCATTGATCGTCTGAGTACGGTGGGTAGAAAGGAAATGGATCTTGGGGTGTTTGGTATTGAGGATGTTGGGTGGTTTGGTGATATTGTGGTTGATGGTAGGTTGGGTCGGTTTGTTCGTAATCTTCCCACATTCCTATATCAGGGCTAAGGCTGGATGTTGAGGGGCCCATATTGGGATATACGGAAGACTGAAATTGTGTGTGGGGTATACGGGTGTGTTGGTATTGTGATTGGTATTGTGGTTGAGTGTGAGGCATATCGGGGTATTGGTAGTGAGGTGGTGATTGTGGTTGGTTGTGGGGCATTTGAGTGTAATTGTGTTGTGGTGGGGACTGTGGTTGGGTGTTTGTGGTTCTGTTTCTTCTTGGGGGTTGGTGGGAGGTTGATGGGTTTTGGGTTTGTTGTTGGGGAAACGAGGGTTGTGCCCATTGTGTGCGTGGGTCAACCAAGTACCTTGGATGAGACACGTGCATCTCAGGGTTACTAACCGACCTGTACCAAGATAAATATTGATCTGTGTGTCGCATATTACCATGATTAAGGAAAATCGGGAATTGCAAGACATAGCGGTGACGCCTCTGCCACATCTTACACCATTCCGGAGCGAAGTCTTTCCAGTTGGTAAGACCCCACTGGGCGTCGACCCTTTTGAGATGCCATGGGGACAAACAAGTTGGATCACTTGGTATCTCTTGATGTATTCCGAACTGCATCTTCACACGGTCGCTGTGGTGCATCTCCACAACGTTGAACCGAATGATTGCAGTCTTCACGGTCCAAATTGCTGCATCCTCCGGGTTTGGATCATGGCCCAAACCCAAATATGGTCTCCATACGAACTGCGATAAAATTTAAATCAGGTTAACAAAAACGTAAGGTATAAATAATTTAAATGAAGAAAAGTTTAAAGGTACGACGTATATCATCCGGGCCTAAGTGATCCAACAGATTGCGGTATAGTGCGATATTGAATCTTGGATTCTTGCCGTAATTCATACCCCTCACGCAATACCTAAAGGAAATGAAAAACATTTTATTCTTAGCATATATTTGGTGAAGAGATGAATAGTAATAAATAATATAACTTGATGACTTACTTTGTTGCGTACGGGAAAATGAAAGTGTTGTTGTTGACGGGATTTAAGGACTCCATCCTCCACCAACCCCAGGCTTGTAGTAAAAAAATGCACCAATAAAATATACATTTTTCCTTGACTGCATTTTTGCACAAGGAACTGTATAGGTGTGCTAAAACTGCAGAACCCCAACTATACTTTTTTATTTTTTTCAAAATCCCTAAGTAAATATAAGTACATAAAATTTACACTATTTCCCGTACTTTCGGGAAATAAAAAGGTACCAAATAGTATCATAAGATATGTTCTGGCTTTTACTATCCTGTCTTGCTCGGAGGAATTTTCGTTTAATTCCAAACTTGCATAATGACTTTTAAGCTCAGTGAGTAGTATTCCCTGACCTCTCGCACCACCACCTTCAACCATATCCCTGCCCAACAGTTCTTCACACTGAGAATTGGGTTGTTGAACTGACCCGTTCACGACCTTACCGTCGACAGGGAGACCTAGTAACATGTACACATCCTTTAGCGTGACGGTACATTCACCTATTGGTAGGTGAAATGTATGGGTCTCTGGTCTCCACCTTTCCAACATTGCAAGAATGAACTTCGAATCAATTGTGCAGTTGGAGATCTTTATAACATGTCCAAAACCTGCGTATTCCAGATATGGTACGATAAATGGGTCGGGAGCCAGGTAGTTGTGAGAACGGATTCTGAATCTTTTGATATCCTGAGTTCATAATGTAAAAGGTGTAAGATTAATTAAGATGAATAAAGCATTATCTGAAGTATGAAAAATGTATAACCAAAATAGAAACTTACAAATGCGGCAATATTTTCCCTTGTGCCTCTGTGAGAGTCGCCCATTGTTAGAAGAGTCATTGTTTAAAATGCTTGAGATTATGAAATACTTAGGAAGTGTAAGAGAGTATGAAAGCCTTAGAAAGTGTAAGAGATTATGAAAGATTTCGTAGCAGAGAGTGAGACTTGTGTGGGTGTGAGAGATGTATGATATGGTCTGTATTTATAGGCAAAAAAATTTCATAGAGTGAGTGAGGTGGTAGCTGGTGCATGCATGCATGAGAAGTGTCACTCTTGCAGGCTAGGTGGCAGCCTAGGGGGTTACATATCTGCATGCATATACAAAAATGAAAGGTGTCACTCTTGCAGGCTAGGTGGCAGCCTAAGGATGTAACACGATTGGACAGTAAGGGAGGCGCCATTGGACTTGGCGAAAGAGTACAAAAATGAAAGGTGTCGCCATCCCAATTGGCGAATACGAGGTGTCTTCGGTTGCAGGCTAGGCTCAGGCTACGTGACAGCCTTTGGGATGCCATGCCTGAATGCATGTAACCCTATTAGAGGTGATGGGAGGATACTTACAACATACAGTGTAGGTGTAGAGTAGGCACAGGCTAGGTGGCAGCCTAGGGGGTTACATATCTGCATGCATGTAACACGATTGGACAGTAAGGGAGGCGCCATTGGACTTAGAGAAAGAGTACAAAAATGAAAAGTGTCGCCATCCCAATTGGCTAATAAGAGGTGTCTTTGGTTGCAGGCTAGGCTCAGGCTACGTGACAACCTTTGGGATGCCATGCCTGAATACATGTAACCCTATTGGAGGTGATGGGAGGATACTTACAACATACAATGTAGGTGCAGAGTAGGCGCAGGCTAGGTGGCAGCCTAGGGGGTTACATATTTGCATGCATGTACAAAAATGAAAGGTGTCACTCTTGCAGGCTAGGTGGCAGCCTAAGGATGTAACACGATTGGACAGTAAGGGAGGCGCCATTGGACTTGGCGAAAGAGTACAAAAATGAAAGGTGTCGCCATCCCAATTGGCGAATACGAGGTGTCTTTGGTTGCAGGCTAGGCTCAGGCTACGTGACAGCCTTTGGGATGCCATGCCTGAATGCATGTAACCCTATTGGAGGTGATGGGAGGATACTTACAACATACAGTGTAGGTGCAGAGTAGGCGCAGTCTAGGTGGCAGCCTAGGGGGTTACATATCTGCATGCATGTAACACGATTGGACAGTAAGGGAGGCGCCATTGGACTTGGCGAAAGAGTACAAAAATGAAAGGTGTCGCCATCCCAATTGGTGAATAAGAGGTGTCTTTGGTTGCAGGCTAGGCTCAGGCTACGTGACAGCCTTTGGGATGCCATGCATGTAACACTATTGGCAGCCTTGGGGGTTACATCCTTAATTGAAATTCAATATGATATTTTTAGTCTTACGTTTATCATAACATTGATTCACTTAATCTGTCAAATCTTCCAACCTTCAAACGTTCTTACAATCAAACCTTCAAACCTTCAAACAATCAAACATACAAACCTTCGAATATCTCATAAACTTCAAACATTCC